GATGGCGGGGGCAGTGGGGCTGGTTTTTTTTTTTTTTTTTAAATCCTTTTTTACTTTTTTCATTTTACTTTTTTCAATTTTAATTTTTTTTGCACTTAGCTTTATTGCTATCACACAGGGGCTAACAATCAGGCTGCTTACAAGTGATCTTGAGAGGCTGTGCAGCCGCTCGCGATCACTTGTACAAAACGGCTCCACCTCTACATATAGCCCTGCTGCTTGCCTGAAGCAGGGCTAAATGTAGAAAAAAAACTACCTGCCTGAAGCTGGGTGTCGGGCGATAGGAATTCCATACCCCTAGGTGTCAAATTCCGCCTGTAAAAAAAAAAAAAAAACAACTAAAATAAAAATTAACTTGCAAAGAGCTTTAAATACCTGGTGGTACTGCCAGCCTCTTATGTGCTCGCAAGCTTCCTTTGCTAGTGCCAATCCAGACCAGTGATAACATGCACGGTCGATGTTCCCAAGCAGACGGCAGGACACTGCACAGCAAGCCTGCATTCCCATAGTTAGCCTGTGACATTACAAGCTGACACGCGTGTAGCTCAGTCCTTCCTCTAGTAATTGTCAGTGGGTCCTGCTGGAGACCTGCTCTTTAGTGCTACACTATGCAGATTAGGAAATGGAGCTGAGCCAACTGATTGTGAGCACTTTGGAGGATGAAAAAAGAAACTACTTGATTGGCTGAATGCTGCGGGCACAACCTTGACCCCCACCATCATGTGACCACCACTGAAAAATGGCATTTACAAACCCCAAATTTTTTAAAAAAGGCCTCGTAATGATTGCATTTTTTTGGATTTTTTTTTTTTAATCTTGATTTGACTTACATTTTAACTAATCCTGCTCTCAAACACTGCAAAAATATTTGTCGGATTCTCCAGCTGTATGCTTTTGTTAAAGCTGAGCTCCAGATATAAATAGTAATATACTTGTACTCGTGAAAATGCCCCAAATCTTAAGGCCGATACCAGCCCTTTAAATTTTTAAAGCTGTTCGGCTACCTGAATTCCAGCACTTGCTGGGGACTTCAAGCAGCCTGCTGGGTTACCTGAGACAGCTGTCTTTGACGGTGCCTGTCTAGCCCCAGGTCTCCTCCTTCCCGATGCCCACAGAAACGGGAACAGCACCAGACAGCCCTGGAGACTGGCACTTGCATGCTGAGACTAGCAGAGCACTGGGCTGATTTATTATATGGATGTGCGAACAGCTGCCTTCTCTCTCCCAGAGGGGGAAAGGAACGGAGGCAGTAAAGCTCAGGCTGTCTATTGTGCTGTGAGTAGGGATGTCCGATACCACTTTTTCAGGACCAAGTACCTTCCCTCATGTACTTGCCGATACCAATTTCAGATACTTTTTTTTTATTTTTTTATTATTATTTAAAGGGACAGGTGACTTTAAATGATCCCTAGTAAACTACATGTTATGTACTATGGATCATGATTTAACCTATTCATGTTAGCAGGGTACAATTGTACATCTATTGCTGTAATGTAGTGGAGGCGTGTGCTGTACATATGTACTACATATACATTACACACGTCCAGTACACTATAGCAATAGATTTACAGCCAGTCCCTTCCCAGCTTCCCTCACTCACAAATTCACTCTGATCCCTGTTGCCTCACACGGTGCCTCTCTTAGTCGGCGCTGGGCAGGATCGTTGCATCGCGTCTCGGTGCTCCGCTTGTGGGAAGCGCTCACAATTCTGCCCTGCTAACATGAATAGGTTAAATCATGATCAATAGTACACATGTCCCGTACACTGCAGTAACAGAGTTACAATTATCCCCTGCTAACATGAAGAGGTTAAATGATCCGTAGTACATAATATGTAGTTGTACTATAGTTTCTTTAACCTATTCATGTTAGCAGTGAATCATTGTAAATCTATTACTGCAGTGTACGGGACATGAGTACAGATAGAATGCACTGCAGCAATAGATATACAATTCTGCACTGCTAACATGAATGGGTTAAATGATCCGTAGTACAACTACATATTATGTACTACGCATCATTTGACCCATTCATATTAGCAGGGGATGATTGTAAATCTATTGTTGCAGTGCATTCTATATGTAGTATATAGTACATGTACATATAGAATGCACTGCAACAATAGATTTACAATTATCCTCTGCTAACATGAATGGGTTAAGTGATCCATAGTACAGGTCTACATATGGATCATTTAATCCATTCATGCAGAGGATAATTGTAAATCTATGGTCTCCAGTGTATTAGCAATGTGTACCCTATATGTATTACATATAGGGTACGCACTGCTAATACGCTGGAGACCATAGATTTACAATTAGTCCCTGCTTTAATAGCGCCCCTTTCCCTCACTCACTGTGCGGGAGAGCAGCGGCGAGTCAGCGCTGGTCCGGTGGGAGGAGCTCCAGATGGGGTCCTAATTTAGCTGGCCCAGAGGTACCGGCCAGCTAAATTAGGACCCCCACCTGGAACTCCTCCCACTTTGGCGCTATGCATCGGGGCATTTTGACAAGTACTTGTCAAAATGCACTGTATTGGGCCCGATTCCGATGCTAGCATCTAACCTGTAGATCCGCAGCCGATGTGACACTACAAGTCCCAGCATGGACCCAGCAGTCTGTAAATGCTGGGACTTGGAGTCCTGCAACTGCAGAGGAGACTCGTGTTCCCCAATTTGCTGTGTGATCCTCTGCAGAATAGGTGATCGCACAGGAACGGGTTGCTGTATAGGAGCTGTATTATCTACATTGGGACGTTTGGGATGAATTTAGCATTCGTACCCCTCCCCATTATGAGTTGGAAATCAGGCAATGCTGCTGTTATGCGGAATGGATTCAGCGCTGATTGGAGGCCATGTACAATGTATGGAAAGTTTCAAGTGTTTTCCTGTATGTGCTCTGGATAGAGATGCCTGTATACTCCATTGTATATCCGATCCATGTGTTTACGGAACTTGGCCAGTCCATACATGTCCGTGTGACAGATCTCTAGCATGACTGCTCTGTACACTGCCATGTGTGTTCCTCAGTGTATACACTGCATTCTGATCATGCTGGCAAATGCAAACCTTTAACTATGCTTTTAATACAGTCTTTAATGACTGATCCAGCAAGTTTAAATGACAGTAATATTTGCACTTGTCATGCAGTTTATTATGACATGTCATCTTAGCATTAACTGGAGCCAATGTCACCATCTTCTTATGTAGGTTATCACGTTATAATAGTGAACGTCCACCTTTTTAAGAATGTGCTGATACCAATACTGGTACCTAAAATCATTAGTTTGTATTGTCCCTTTTAAGAAAAAGTATTGCTAATTGCTATCGGCAAGTAATATATTAGGGATGCCCTGAAATTTCAGCCTCTGAAACACATCGGCCGAAAATGGCACTTTGGGCTAAATGCCGAAAGTGACATCTTTTGGCTGAAATTGCGGTGCATCCGTAGTGTCTCTCCTCCCTGCTGGGTGCTGCTTTTTGTGCCCTCTGACACAGAGCAGCATCCAGCGGGGATGCGAGCTCTGTGAGCGTGTTACAGGAGGCTGAGCTTTCCTCCCCGCACCGCCCGCTCAGCCTCCTGTGACCGAGTCAGGATGGAGTGTGGTATATAAACATTCGGTGATCACTGAATGTAAATAACTGGACATAGTTTGATTTACTGTGTACCAGTTATGAATAAAGAGGAAGTTATCTAAATCACTTCCTGTTCATTCATAATTGTGTACATAGTAACTCACACTAAAGCCACATTTTATGAATGAACAGGAACCTACAGTATAGAGGCTTCCTGTTATTCAGTGCCGGGCTGCAGAAAAAAAAAGAATGAGGACTCTGTGTCCTTAATCTTATTGTAAAAGGGAAATATCAGGGGTCTGTTTTAGGCCCCTAAAATTTCCCCAAAGCCCCCAACAGTAAAGTTTAAAAAATAAAAATATATATTAAAAAATTAGTTTAGAAAAAATAAGTAAATATTTGAAAAAGGTTAGAAAAAAAATAATTTTCGGTTTTGGCCTGACATTTTTTTTACATTTTCATTTCGATCTCAAAATTTCATTTCTGTGCACTGCTAAAATATTTATAGATTTTGTGTGTAAGTAAGAGCAGTTTAGAGGTTTGTACATTTCTTTTTAATATGGTCAGCATTAGAAAATCGCAGTTTAATATTTATTCGTTAATATTGTATATTTATGTATTGGGGGGTCATTTATCAAGCTGTTAAGTGACACAATAAGATGCATACAAGAGACTGCCTACCTCTTCCCCAGGTTTATAGTGTATTTGCATGCTTGTAATCCTGGGCAGACAACTGTGACAGATTTGCAAAGCTCCACAACACATTTATTACTGAAGATGAGATTTTCACTGTAAACAGATGACACACAAAGTGGTCAAGGTCCAGTTTCATTCTGTCACAGTGCTACATTAGAGCTAAGGTAATACTAAACTAGTTAGTATTGTGAAACAATATTGTGCTGAGCTAATAAGCATACATACTAAATAAATTGAAACATATATAAATGAGTCACATATATGAGCCTTCAAACAAATGAGGCATAGAAAATATCTACACACAGACAAAAAAGCAATATAGACAAAAAAAGTCCCAGAAAAAACTGAACTGCGCATGCGGCCGCCCGAGACATTTTCAGATGTTCGGATGGGGAGTGCGCGGCGAAGACCCAGGTAAGTTTAAACCTATTAAAAAAAATTAAAAAAAACTTTTGACGTTTTTGCGTATATCTATTGCTTGCTAGCAGTAGATATATGCAAATTAGTGAGGGTTTAATAACCCTTTAAGCTTACATTTGCACCTACGACTAAACAAATTGGAGGAGTGTATAACACCCGCACCACCACCTTGCCTGCCAGTTGAAGGCACCTCCATAGTTTGAGAGTCTCACCTGACAAAGGGTTCTGTCTTAAAATTTGTCTCTACATTTTGAAGGTCCATTTTGTAAATTAACATTTTTGGGATTTACTTTTGCCTTTTTTATACCAGGGAAAGAGATAGAAGAGTGCGAGAGAGACTTTTCATGATGCGTGAAAGAGAAGAACGAGAGAGATTAAGAAGAGAACGTGTCAGACTTCAGTTTGAAAGGGAAAGACTTGACAGGGAGCGAATGGAACGAGAGAGATTGGAAAGAGAGAGAATGCGAATAGAGGAAGAGAGGCGCATCGAGCAAGAACGTATCCAGAGAGAGAGAGAAGAATTGCGCCGCCAGCAGGAGCGTTTGCGCTATGAGCAGGACCGCCGAGGGATAAGAAGGCCTTATGATGTGGATGCAAGGTAAAATGTTAATGTACTTTAACCTATTTTCTGAGATACTGGTTAATTGCTTATTATACAGTTTCCTTATTTTAGCAAGAGATCATAGTTTAGTTTCTTGGTAAATTGTATGTATTGCAAGGATCTTTTTTTTTTTTTTTTTTTTTAAAGATTTCGAATAATTGTGTTGTTTGAAAGTAATTTTTTTTTTTTTTTTTTTTTTTTAAGATTCAGATTTTTTTTTGTTTTGTTCTAGAGTCTCCTTTTCCAAAGCCTATCTAAACCCAAACATAATCATGGAATACATTGCAAATTACCAGTCCTTAGATGAGGTGGCTCCCCCCCCCCACACTTGGTAATCCTGTAAATCAGTGTGCAACCTCAGGACCCACATTTTGTCTTTGGTCATTAAGTCTCGACCCAAGTCGCACTGCATTAGAACGCACGGCATTGCGGTACCGTGCATTCCAGTGTGGGCAATCGAACTGTGGGTAGGAGGTGCGTTTTGAGTACCATTTAAATGAATGGCAACGCAACATACCTCCCACACCACAACACGTAGTAGGTGTGATTGCGTGGTACGGTGGGTTAATCGCGCAGGACTGTGCAATTTAATGCACTGTACTAATGTGAACGGGCCCCCCAAAACACTCGCATACATACACAACCACAGACACACTCGCATTCTAATACACACATTAAAAAAAACAAAAACTTTTTTTAAGGTCCACTCAGTCTCCCTACCTTACGGGGTGGAGTGGATCCTCAGCCTGGGGTCCAATATGGGCTGCTCTGCTGTGTCGGAGCTTCATCCATATGTTCATTGCTTGTACAGCTCCCTTGCACACCCTGTAGAGGTGCTGGGAGCCAGAATGTGACGTCACTCTGGTCCAGGCCCCTCTGCGGGACACATGAGGCAGCTGTAAGCAATGCATGCATGGATGGAGCTCCCTCGTAGCCATAGCCCCATCCTATCCCACGTCAAGCTGACACTGCGCTGGGCAGCATATTCTGAATGGCTGCTTGGCACCGGAAAACACACAGTACTGTGCTGGGGGAGGCTGAGGAGCCTCTCACCTAGAAAAGTGGAAGGCATGCAGCGACCCACTGAACACGGGGTCACGACCCACCAGTTGAGAACCAAGGCTGTAAATAACACACTTCCTGTCCAGCATGGCTGCACTCTTATTCCACTGTATCTAAATGGAGCCATGGTTGTCTCCCAGGTTGGATGTCAAACATGCCTTCATCTCCATTACGTGGAGGTTTTGGGGATTATTCCTTTACAAGAGTTCGGATCACGGGAAGTGACCAGGACGCTGCATTTATGGCAAGATTAAACTGTATTTTCTGTAATTGTTGAAAATGATTTTAGCCTGAAAAAATAAAAAAAAACGTTTGCACGCCAAAGCTGCAATATATAACATTTTTATTTTTGGGTTTTAGTTATCCGTTAATCTAACATGCCTGTGCTTGTTGGATGATGAGCTGTTATCCCTTTTTAAATATTGGTACCACATTTACTTTGCACCAACCCATTGGTACCAGACATTAAAACGTTTTTTATAAGCTGGAAACAATGGACTAGAAATAACTGATCCCAACTCTTTAATGACCTGTACGTGCAATTTTGTATAATATTTTCTGGATCAATGTCAAACTGCTGTGGTGCATCTGAAATGCTTGTATTGTAGATCAGCACCACCACTTTTGTATACGTAGAGCTAAAGAAAATGTTTAATAGGTTTCCATCTGTTCCATCTGACCTAGTGTTCTTACTATTATCACTACAGATTTTGTGGGATTTTACTTACTCTTTAGTTCAATAAAAGTCCAAGTAGTCATGCAGTGTCCTCTGCTGCAGTGAACAAAGTAGGCAGACACTCCCAGAAGTGTCAATTTCTGCCAGACGTTTGGCAAGGTATTTAAATGCTGTTTTGCAAATGTATTTGAACTTTTTTTTTTTTTTAAACAGTCTATTCAACTATTTAGTAGCCTCTTTGTTTTCATTTTTGTTGCCGTTTTTTTTTTTTGCTCATTTATTTTTCTTTGAAAAACTGAAGGAAGTCCTTTCACATAAAGACACATAAAGGTCACATAAAAAGTAATAAACTTATGTGACTACGTAGGTTTTGTTTTTAGTTTTAAAATTTAGTTTTAAAATGAATACATTGCAATATGTTTACTTAAAATCAAACTGAAATGTTCCATTCATACTCTGATTTTTGTTGACAATATTTCCTCCCAACATGTGTTTTAAACAGTGTCTCTTGGCATTGCAATGATGGCTCTCTTAAATACCCACCAAAAGTGTTTTAGCACCATCACACACTGTCAACAAGGCCACCTTTTACACTCCTTTTTAAATAGTTTCTCACACACACTACTAGATGTATTACAGAACGATAATATATTTTCCATCCAACATTCTGTAATATTCCTTCCTGGGGTTTTCTTCATCCATCAAAACTTAAGCTGTTTTATCAAGCTGCCTTTCAAGCCTCTAACTGTGGTTTTTATGAGGTTTCGGTATATTTTTGTTCTTTTGTTTAGAAGAGATGAGCCATACTGGCCAGATTCAAAACGAATGGCTTTGGATGATCGCTATCGAGATTTTGGAAGAACAGACAGATTTAATGATTTCGAGAATAGAGATCGTGGTCGATATATGGATCATATGCACCTGGACAGGTAATATAGAAACATGTTTCTCTTCCAGCATTTAGTTAGGGGGTCAAAGGCAGTAGTCTTCTACTGATAAAGCTACTGCCTCTAGAACAGGGGTGCCCACAAGGTCGATCGCGATCTACCAGTCGATCGCATAGCGATCACTGGTAGATCGCCATGTCCTCTCCTCCCGCCGCTTCTCTGGATCCCCGCTGAGGAGATCCGAGAAGAAGTGAAGGAACCGGCGGCGGGGGAGGACGGAGCCGCTGTCACAGAACTAATGCAGAGCGGTGAGGAGAGAGAGAGAGAGACGCTCGGCCAGGATCTGACAGCCGGCGCCTCTCTCCCCCCTCACTGCTCGTCCTTTTTTTTCTATGTGTCCCCAGTTATAAATGAATGAACAGGATGTGATTTACATCACGTCCGTTCTTTCATGAGTTTCTCAATGGGGAGAAGCACTCTGTACAGAGGCTCCTCCCCATTCAGAAACTGCTTGATAGTAAAATATTTTCTGAATGAATGGGAAGCCTCTTTGCTTTCCATTCATTTAGAATAGAGGCTGCAGAAAAAGAGATTGAGGACTTTGTGTCCTCAATTTCTTTTTCTTTTTTAAAAGGGAAATATCAGGGGGCTTTTTAGACCCCTAATATTTCCCCGAAGCCCCCCCAAGAGTAAAAAAAAAAAAATTACGAAAATTTTAAAAAAATAAAAATAAATAATGAAAATAAAATAAAAAAATAGTAAAAAATAAATTTAAAAAACGTTGTTTTTTTTCTTGCCTCAGGCGCAAAAGGAGCTGGCTACGGCTATGCTCCCGTGGTGCTCGTGCGGCTGCCGGCTGAATGTGTCAGACGCTGCAGATGGAAAGGTGCAGGACACCCCATGTGCAACGTCGGCCACGGGAGGACAGGACGCCGGGGCATGTAGGGCGCACTGGAATGTAAGCCGGCCGACTCCCTGCGTTCAGGTGCGGGAGGGGGTGTGGAGCTGTATTGAAGTCAATGGCATCGCCCACATTGCGATCGCCCGCACTCGGAACGCAGGCACATTAGTGCCTGCATTCCGGTCCAGTGCGATCTGCAAAAATAGTGCTTGCAGCATTTTTGCGGATCGCACTGGACTGGAACACAGGCACTAATGCAGGCGATCGCACTGTGGGCGAGGGGCCTGCCTGCGGAGCCTGGCTGCGGTGCCATTGACTTCAATGCACCGCCACGCCCCCTCCCACCCCTGAATGCAGGTGTTTTTTCGTTGGTAGATCTCAATGAGCTTGTCATTTGAAAAGTAGATCTCCAGACGAAAAGTAGTGGGCGCCCCTGCTCTAGAAGGTTGCACATTGGGCATATCAAAGGGAACAGCTTTATGTGTTTTTATGCATTCTACTGCACATGTTTGCTGAAGAACATAGCCCAACTGACATGGTTTGAACAGGTCCTAAGACTTTCAAGCCAAATTTTCAATATCTACTGGCCGTTTCATCTTACAGGATATCCAGATCCCGGATATTCACCCCAACAGCCATATGGGACTTTTGATTTGCATATTCAGTGCAGTGGCCTACTGCTCTTCCCATGCAGTACCAGATCCCCAGATGAGAATTGTCGCTGCTACTTGGTTTACTGCTCATCCTACACCCCCAGATTCGAATATGCACTGTATGGCTGTCCTATTCTGCATCTGTCATACTGGTCTCCCAGAGCTGGATATTCATTCCAGTGGCCCCACTAGGTTCAGCACCATGCTAGAGAGACAGTATAATCACTCACTGCTGTATCTCTTAGTGGTTCGAGCAATGGCTTTTTTCCATGCTTTCAGTGTGAGGGATCATCTAGTACAGGTGGTGAAATTCACATTTGGAAAGTGTGGTAGTCTACATCAGTTCAGCTGCTGTGGTGCTTCAGAGAGTACTTTATTTCAAATGTTTTTCTGCAGGCCAGACATCGAAAAAATCCAATCTCTAGCTTCCTCTTACAGGGAAAGGCTATTTGGGACTTCTCAGGATGCCATCTTGAAGGATGGCAGTGTTGGGGAAAAGCACGCCACTAAAGCTGGCCATACACCTTAAGATTATTATTCGATTTTCTTTTGTCCCATCATCGAACTCCGTACGTTTTCCACTCGAGTACTCCATGTACAGACCAATGTTGGTTTTGATTATGGTTCGTTAGCAATACTAACTGGCTGAATTTCGTCAATCAACCAAACAGATTTTCGTTTGTGCATTGTTCATGTTGCGATTTTTGGTTTTTTTCTGAACGAAAACGCCACTAATCCATTATTTATTTTTTGTACGATTGGAAAAAAATTTCCACACTGACTCTTGATTTGGGAGGGTCTGGTTCGTTAAGGGGGCCGTTCACACCACTGATGCAGTGCGTTACGGCACGATTCTGCCCAGAACGCACTGCATCGCGGCCGGCTAACTTTTGTGTGGCAGGAGGGGGCGTGGCGGGCAATTGAATGGCACTGTGGCCACGCCCTCCGTCCGCAATGCGACAGGCCACACTGGATTGCAAGGCACATTATGCCTGCGGTCCGGTCCGATCAAAATAGTGCTTGCAGCATTTTGATCGCATAATGTGCGAACCCGTACAGCCGATCTCATTGCGGCCGGGGGGCGTGGCTATGGTGCTGGGCAGTGCGTTCCAGGCCAGAATCGGACCTGAAACGCTCTGCTTATGGTGTGATCTAACCCCAAGTGTCTCGCACGAAAACTTCTATTGCTAGGGATGCTGAAAATGTTTTTTTTACCTGCATCTCAATGCAGACTTTTGAAAAGTCCCCCCCCCCCCCCCCCTTTTTATATTGTTTTCCTCTTGGAACCCTCATGACAGTTACTGAGGGTAAGGAAGATGGCGTGGAAGCCGCTATCCCTCTGATAATTTTCCAGTAGAGGAAGGAGTATCTTTTGGAACCTTCTTGAGAGATATAACTTTTTAGACATTTTAGGAAGTGGTTGATTGTTACATGCTCAGGGCAAGTACTGATACTCAGTTATCAGGGGAATATGTACAGCAGTACCACCAAAAGTGTTTTAGCACTATCACACACTGTCAACAAGGCCACCTTTTACACTCCTTTTTAAATAGTTTCTCACACACTACTAGATGGATATTCTAGATCGATAATATATTTTCCATCCAAAATTCTGTAATATTCCTTCCTGGGGTTTACTTCATCCATCAAAACTTAAGCTGTTTTATCAAGCTGCCTTTCAAACCTCTAACTGTAGTTTTTATAAAGTTTCGGTATATTTTTGTCCTTTGTTTAGAAACAACAAAAGGGGAAGAGATGAGCCATACTGGCCAGATTCAAGTGTACATTCCAAGTGTAGTCCAAGTGTACATTCTGGATTCTATTCCACTACATGCCTTGGGCCTTGAGCAAGATCCTTGCTTGCATATCCCCATCTTGCTAGTGTGGATGTGCTCGCATTTCATTTTCATAGTGGAATACCTGGAAGACCTTCTACTAGGTGAACACTGAACAGTTTGCGAAGATGTTATCTGTTATTGGCCAACAAGTCAGACTCTACAGAGGTTCGTTAGGTCCTGAACCCCCAGAAGTCAGCTAGAGATCCTACTAGCTGGTTGTAATACCTGGGCTTATATTTGGGCACCGCTCAAGCCAGAATGTTCTGTTCCCAGGAGAATTTCAGTCTGTCTGCTTCGACGCCAGCTCTATAGTCCAGCAGCTCTCCAACTTTCCTTTTGTATGAGGGTTTGGGGTTTGATGGTAGCCTCCTTTGGGACAGATCTGTATGCCCAATTCCATTCCTGTTTGTTTACTTAACGTTCGGTCTGCATGAGACTAGAGGCCGCAAGTTTCTGGACCTACTGAGATGCTTGACACTCGAGTGGTCTCTGGTTAGTGGCTTAGAGGATCCAGCCCTGGAGTTGGGTATACCTCTTCCTCCATTGGGCTCAAAGTAACTTACGATTGTTACGAACCGGATGGATTGGAGAGGGGTCCTGGACACCCTTTTTTGTGCAGAGAGCTAGAAGACTCTTGTTTTATTATTGAAATGCTGGCATTCTGAGCATGCCAGCATTTTGATCATCCCTTTCATTAGAGCTGCAACAATTAATCGACTAAGTCGATTATAATCGATGATGGAAAACGTTGTCAACGTTTTCCCATCATCGATTAGTTTGCCTGCTTGCAGCGCGCCGCACGACACTTCTCCTCCCTGGAGGGCTTCCAGCTACCGCACACGCACAGCAGCCACGTTGCTCCACCCTACCTGAGTCCGGGGCGGCTTCACTGGGAGGACAGGCTTCCTGCTGACGTTGCAGACGCCAAGCCGCCAATGGCGTGCCTCGTCAAATCAGAGCTTCTCTTGTCATGCTGTGCGTGCAGCGTTGATGTCTGAACCCCGTGAGCAAGGTTAGTATTGCGTATGAAAATGTACATGGTCACCGGAGGAGAATCTGAGAGCACTGAGCCCATATGACAGGGGCTGTTCCGGTCCCTGGGAAATGGGGACATTATTAGTAGAGGGGAGATGTTTCCATGCTGTACTAACTTCCTGCCTGGTAATGGTACTATTGCTGGGATTTGTTGTATTCCTCTATAGCTGGTGTTATACTGCATTGCGCCGTATAATCATTTATTATACAGCGCAATGCAGAATAACGCCTGCTACAGAGGACTACAAATTCCAGCAATAGTACATTATAGTATAATGTACTATTGCTGGGATTGGCTGTATTACTCTATAGCTGCTGGTATTGTGCTGTATAATGTACTATTGTACTATATTGCACACCACACTTTTTTTTTTTTTTTTACTTCCCCCGTTCCAAGCTTGCTCCTGTGACAGACTACAATCTCAATACAAACTAGTAGTCCATCACTGGAGGTTTTTTTTTTTTTTTATCCGATTCATCGAACTCAACTAATCGATTTTGAAAATAATCGTTAGCTGCAGCCCTACCTTTCATGCTGGACATTTCAGCTGTAGTCCTCTTATCGGGATTCAGCCACAGCCGTGGCCTACATCAGCTATCAGGGAAGCAGAAATCTTGCTTCTTTAAGGGCCCATTCACACCACATCTAGATAATCTCCAGACCAGATTGTTTCCGGACCCAAAATGCATCCTAATGTAGCCCAATGCTATTTCTGGCCTCTGTTCACCCCAGCGCAGTCCGTTCCAGACCAGAAGAGAAAAATACTGCTTGTCTCATTTTTGCATCCCTTATTAGGTGACCAAGCAACAAACTTACTGGACACCTATTGTTTTTTGAAGATTATAATTTTCTATTATTCCGCTCTTTTGTCAAATGCCTGTATTATTATTACAGGCATTTGACCAACGTTGCACTTATGTGCAACGTTGGTCAAAAACTCATAAAACTTGGTACAATGGCAGAGCTCTATGCTCTGCAGAACTTAGTGCAATGTAAAGGTTATAGGTCACCTAATGCGGCAGCAATCTTGGTTTTTGCGACAATTTTTTTGATCCTAATAGGTTGGACTTGATGGACTAATGTCTTTATTCAACCTCAAATACTATGTAACTATGTATCATGTTTGTGTTATACGTCTATTGGCCACATGGTTTGGCAGCCATGTTGGGTTGTGCAATATTCTGCAAACAACTTCATCTCTGAAACCATTTATCATGGTTGTAAAAACAGGTCCAATCCCAAAAGCAATATGGCTGCTGCAAGCCAGTGGTATTTAGATAGTGTTATTATGGCCTTTTTTCTAAAGTTTTTAATAAGCACATTGGTGGGTATTTATCAAATCTGGAGCAGATTTGCACTGCAGCCAATCGGCTTCTATCTTTTTTAAATCTTACCTGAGCAAACTGAAAAGAGGTGGTGATTGGTTGCTATGGGCAAGTGCTCCAGATTCTGATTGCTCCAGTTTTGATAAATCCCCGCCTCTTTACTCAAAACTCATGCAAGTTGGCCCAATGGTAGAGTTCTATGCTTTGCCTAATCTTTAGCATCACAAAGGTCATAGGTCACATTCCCTGGCAGCCATCTTGGTTTGGGTGACCATATTCAGCTTCATATTCAAAGATCCGTTTCTCAAACTATTAAAGCTACAGATATGCAAATTGCTGTTTAGTTATGCTGTGATCTACACTCAGAACTGATTATTACAAGTCAATTGACAACATAGTTTGGCGGCCATATTGAATTGTCTAAAATTCTACAAATATTATTATTTTGATGCTCCTTTTTTCAAATGCTAATTATAACCACACCGTTATTTAAAAATTCATGAAATTTGACATCTTGGTTTTAGCAAACATATTTCGGGCAATATTAACCACTTGAAGACCGGGGTGTCTCACCCCCTTCCTGGCCAGGCCATTTTTCAGTATTCAGCGCTGCGGTACTTTGACTGACGTTTATTCCGTCATGCAACGCTGTACTGATACGAATTTCATACCATTTTTTGGGGACACATAGAGCTTTCTTTTGGTGGTATTTAATCACCACTGGGGTTTTTATTTTTTACTATATAACAAAAAAAGTACCCTAAATTTTGAAAAAAAAACATGTTTCCCTATAAAATGTTATGAAACATTTATTTTCACCCCATTTTTTGGTATAATATAAAAGACGGGGTCACGTCGGGTAAATAGACACTAAACATGTCAACCTTTAAAATTGCGTGCGCCCGCAAAATCGCAGAAAACGACCGCCACCAAAATTGTCCATAGGCGACACTTTAAACGTTTTTACCGCTCATCAGTTTAGTGTTATCAGTGATTGATGGCCCTAAAATTATTGCTCTCACTCCGACGTTCGCGGCGATATGTAACATGTGCTGCATAATGGGCGCAATCGTCGTTTTCGTACATAGGCGCACCCGACGCATGTGTATGTGGGGGGGGGGCGGGGGACTTTAAAACATTTTTTGTGTTATTTTTTTTAATTATTATTTGTGAATATTTTTTTTAGCTTCTTTATTTTTTTTAATGCTGTAATTTTTTTTTTAACTTTTTTTAGACAACTTTATTGCTATAACATAGGGGATTAAGAAATCCCCTATGTAATAGCCAGTTCACCAAACAGGTCCTCTTTATGGAGACATCAGGGGTCTCCAAGACCTCTGATGTCACCTAGGGACCCCCACAGAAGCTGATGAAGCAGAGATCTGCTTCATCAGCTTCTCTCCGGTGTTCTGCACCGGAGAGTGACACTGAATGCAGGAAGTGATGTAATATACATCACTTCCTGCATTCGGGGACAGGAAGAGAGATCAAAGGGAAATCGAGTAATGATCTCCCTTTGATCTGCTGTTAGAGCGTCGCCGTGCCGGTCCCAGCCGCACCGGCCACATCGGATCACGGACCGGCAGCGGCGACGAGGAGACCGCGTGACAGAGGTACAGGGGGAGGGGGGGGGGGAGGCCGCACACCCGCAGCTCCTGCAAGTGATCGGGCGTCTCTAGAGACGCCTGATCGCTTGTATGTAAACAGCCATCGCTGGCTGTTTACATGCTCACAGTTTTGCCTCTCGTGTGCGCGCTGAGTGCCGCACACGAGAGGGGGGAGGGGCAGGACGTCTTAAGACGCCCTCCTAGCAGACTCCCGGCCGTGGACGTAAGGTGGTTAAAACATCTTTTTTTTTTCATAACCACTAAAGATTTACAACTTGCTATTTGAGGATATGCTGAGCTCTACAGTCATATATGTTCATTACAAGCCATTTGACCACATAGTTTAGCAGCCATATTGGATTGTGCAATATTTTACAATCATCTTTTTCTTTGAAACTGTTTGTTGGAACAATGTGAAATTTGGCACATATGTCCATGGGCACCTCCTCTACCACGGAGGATTAAAGCAAGTCCATGCCAAAATCAATATGTCCGCATTTTTTGTTGCAGCCCAGGTTGTGGGTGTTCTCTTCCCTTCATGGAAATTTTATGGTTTCACCTCGTTTTGGTTGGGTGTTGGTTGATCACCTTCTTGCTTGTTTAGTTTTGGTGCCACTTCCATGTGGAGTCATTCCTTCTGGTAGTGACCTTTCTCAGTTTTCAGCATCAGCCTGAATCTCTGTGCCCTCCCTTTGGTTGTGTTGGCTGGTTCCCCCTATCTGGTAGGAGGCTTTGCCTAATCTGGTTCAGATTTGGGCCTCAGTCCTTCAGGCGGTTCCTGGGCTGGAAGCAGTCCCCTTGTTTCTTCATTGGGCCTCTTAGTGATTGTTTCTCCGTTGGATATATTTCATTTGGACTGCTTTGCAGCTGAATTCCTAGGTGCCTCAATGGACAAGAAACAAAATAGGATTTTTGTACCCGCCATAAAATCCTTTTCTTGGAGCCTATTGAGGGACACGTATCCCACCTCCTGTGTTTATGTTCACACTCTTGGAACTGCTTGCTATAAACCGAGGCATGCTGGGTAGAGAAGTTTTAAGCTGGCCAGTGTGCCAAGCCACATGTAGGCAGTAGTATAACCCATCAGTATCTGAATTCCTGTGTCTGACAGTGGACTCCAAGAAAAGTATTTTGAAAGTGAGTAAATATCTTTTTTATTTAAAAAAAAATGTTTTTTATAATCTTTATGGTTCCAGCCAAAAATATATTTATACAGTGGTCTTTAATGGTTTTGTACCCTTTGTATGTTATAAGAATTCACTTTTCTTCTTCAGGAGGGATGATTCAAGGTCTGGCATGGGTGGCAGAGATATGGTAAGTGAAATAAAAATAAAAACTAAGTTTGAAGAAATACCCACCTTTCCCTATATGGGGCCTACATTTTCTTTCTTCATTCTGTAGAATTACTCCGATCGTCATGGGAGAGATCAGCGTGATGGTTGGGGAGATTATGATAGACGTGTAGATGATGGAAGGGTTGTGCCACCACCAGGAAGGTTTGTCATTTTGTTTGTTTTTTCTATAAAAATCCAGATTGTTAAAAAAAATTATATTTCAGCAATGTGTTGATGTGCTAAAACTAAAAATTAAATGTTTGCAATGTATTTTAGGTGCTTTTGATGCGTGTGTATATGTGTGTGTGTATATATGTATGTATGTATATCTATATCTCTATCTCCTTATCTATAACTGTATCATTGTCACAGGTCGGCTCAGATTATGAGGCTGAGTGAACATCACTCGCCTCATAATTCTCCTTTAAATCCAATAACTTGTATAATAGCCAATGTGGTGTGAATTCTTTGAGGTTTTCTGGTAGCTTCTTATACATAGTGAAGTGTTGGGACATTAGATAATTACTTTAGATGTGTGGTTCAGGAGCACCTCTTAAAAAAAATTTCTTCTCGCTTCAATGTTTGTTTAGATTACAAAAGAACAATAAAAATATAATGGTTCCATTTAACCTCTTCCCGACTTTAAGATGTTCACTTCCCGATTATTAGAGCCGATGTGTGACAGTTTAATTGTCGCACGTCCGCTCTAACTATGAGGATGAGTGAAAATCATCCGCCACAAAGTAGTAGGCCACGTAAAATGACAGAGCGGGGTCAGCACATGCTGAAGCACACAGTGTGCAGAAGTCACCAACTTTCTGGATGTCTGTAGCTATCGACTCTGCAAACTTCGTGTGGCCTTCAGATTGGCACAACAACAGTGCGTAGAGAGCTTCATGGAATGGGTTTCCATGGCCGAGCTGCTGCATCCAAGCCTTACATCACCAAGTCCAATGGAAAGCGTCGGATGCAGTGGTATAAAACACGCCGTCACTGGATTCTAGAGAAGCGGAGACGTGTTCTCTGGAGTGACTAATCACGCTTCTCTGTCTGGCAATCCGATGGACCTGTCTGGGTTTGGCGGTTGCCAGGAGAACGGTACTTGCCTGACTGCATTGTGCCAACTGTAAAGTTTGGAGGGGGGGATTATGATGTGGGGTTGTTTTTCAGGGGTTGAGCTTGGAGCCTTAGTTCCAGTGACATTTTCGCAAGGCATCTTAAGACTCTTAAGGCATCAGCATACCAAGACATTTAGGACAATTTCATGCTCCCAACTTTGTGGGAACAGTTTGGGAATGTCCCCTTCCGGAACCAAAATGACTGTGCACCAGTGCACAAAGCAAGGTCCATAAAGACATGGATGAGCGAGTTTGGGGTGGAGGAACTTGACTGGCCTGCACAGAGTCCTGACCTCAACCCGATAGAACACCTTTGGGATGAATTAGAGCGCAGACTGCGAGCCATGCCTTCTCCAACATTAGTACCTGACCTCACAAATGCGCTTTTGGAACAATGGTCAAACATTCCCATTAGAGCTGCAACAGTTAATCGATTTAGTCGATTAAAATCGACGGTTGAAAACGTTGCCAACGTTTTCGATCATCGATTCGTCGGCTATCGATTGATTTCCCGGTTCGGGGCTCCAAACGCGGCCTGAAGCACACGTCACACGCTGTTTCCGTCCCGCTGCGCCCGCCGGACATAAGCCACGGCCACCACACGCTGCTCCCGCCGTGCTTATACAGCCTGTATAATGTATTATTGCTTGGACTTGTTGTTCCTCTATAGCTGCTAATGTTCTGCAGTGTGCCGGTGTATTATACATTTGGTTTTCTGCATTGCATTGTATTGTGCATGGTGTTCTGCATTGTATAATACAGTGACACACTGCAGAACACCAGCAGCTATAGAGGAACAACAAATCCCAGCAATAATATATTAAACACCCGGTATAATGTATTATTGCTGGGATTTGTTGTTCCTCCTATAGCTGGTGGTATTCTCCATTGCGCTGTATAATGTATTATTGCTGGGATTTGTAGTTCCTCTATAACTGGTCAGTGGTAATCTGCATTGTGCAGTATAAACATACGGTGCAATGGAGAATACCACCAGCTATGGAGCACTACAAATCCCAGCAATAGTACATTATAGTATAATATACTATTGCTGGCATTTGTTGTACTCCTATATAGCTGCTGGTATTCTGCATTTCGCCGTATATTAAACTAGTAGTCCATCACTGAACTTTTTTTTTTTTTTTATCCGATTAGTCGATTAATCAAACTTAATAATCAGCTAACTAATCGATTATGAAAATAATCGTTAGCTGCAGCCCTAATTCCCATAGACACACTCCTAAACCTTGTGGACAGCCTTCCCTTCCAAGAGTTGAAACTGTTATAGCGGCAAAGGGTGGGCCAACTCAATATTAAACCCTACGAACTAAGACTGGGATGCCATTGAAGTTAATGTGTGTGTAAAGGCAGGCGTCCCAATACTTTGGGCAATATAGTGTTATATACACACACTCAGAACATCTTCATAATCTTGTATGTTGTATATCTCTGATATGTTTAGGGTTTATCTGTTATCTTATATTTATTTGTTCTGTCTTTTGATTCATTAAGATGCATTTCTTACTCCCAGGTCCAACATTTAGGACACCCCTACTCGTTCCACTGTCTCTAGGTGGATTTATTAAACTACCACCCATGTCTATGAACTAAAGGGTAACGTTCTCCCCCCTTCCAGTCAAGGTTCACTCTATTAGAAGTGTTAGTGCTTCCAGGGACTTTTAGCATCAGACTTTGGTCTCCCAAATCTGTAGGGCTGCAACCTGTTCGCTGTTAAGGCCCCTGCGGATGCCAGCTTCGGTTGCAAAGTTCTTTAGGTGCCCCTCTGGACCTATGGTCTGGGAAGTCTGGTAGTGCAATGGTTGCTGCATAACTCTTTTTATCTAGAAATAACACCCTGTGTCCTGTAATGTACTGTACTCTTAGAAATCAGATTTGACAGGTAATACAAAAATCCTATTTTTTTAACAATTATTTATTGTTTAACAAAACATGTTTTGCTAAAATACAGAGTTCCAAAAGAAAAATGATGGCAAGCAAGGGGATTGCCTATATTGGATGCAGCTGTCTGTGCCCACATTAACCAGTGACACCCATTGGGCTTATAAAATACTTACAAAGGTTATTTACAATAACAAAAACTTCCTGTTTTTTAGTTTCATAGAATATGGCACATATAGTGAAAGTCTACCTTTACACTACCTTTTATGATCAACTCAGATGAAACACATTGATCATCATTACCTGGTGTCATGATGATCTGAAATATTCATGTAACATGTAATACTCTACCTGGTACTGGTATAAACAATACCAATGGGAGACGTAAAAGACATTGGTTTGTTTGTGACCTTTTATTGTCACAACTATATGCTGTGTGATTACATTATGCATATGTGTATATTACCATCCTGTATATTTGCTTTGTGTTCAATAAACAGTTTATTTATAAAAAATTCTAACGGTGTACTCTTGTCCTCATTAGGGATGGACGTGATTGGGGTGAACATGGTCGCAAGATGGAATCTGATCGATCAAGACCAGGTAATGTTTATAGTATTGTAGAAAGTCACCACAAGGCCACCGTAGTTGGCTGGATAGGTTGTTTTAGGCAATTGAAAGCCAGCCTCAGGCCTTAACAATACTGCTTGACCCATTTTCTATTGTTACTTTATGCATTGTGCAAAATTTTCTAAATAACTAAGTCCTACCTTCTTTAAAAGGTGACCGTGGTATGCCAGGTTCATCAGGGCAAGGGCACATGACTAGAGGAGTGCATGGGTAAGCATACATCGGTTTAAAGGCATGTTATAAATACTATGTTTTTAGACCAGAAATGCAATACAAGCCTTTATTTTACAAGCCATTTTATTATTATAAAAGTATTAGTGTTATTTTCCTTTAATTTCTTTGGTTCTGTCTTATGATTGTATAGGCATGTGTTTTCAGTGTTCAGACACTCCTAACAATACCATAAGCTCTTGTTGGTGAATTTTAAGAATCCATGCCTTAAGCATCAAATAAAAACCCCTTTTAAAGGAGAACTATGGGGTTCTATCTTTTTTTATTAATGCATTCCTTAGGCTAAATAAGTAAATAATGTAATTTACTCTAATTAGCCAAAATGCACAGTAAGGCTGTAAACCCTTATTTAAGGTGGTGGGCGGGGCTAAGCGCCGCAATGAGAAGACATCCCGACGTATCTGGCGGGATCCTCCCCACTGATGACTGACAGTGATTCTTGAGATATATATGGACATGCGCAGCAGCTCTCTCCTTACCTACACGTCCCAGTGTGCCAGCTCCTCCCCCCCCCCCTCTCTCTCCCCCTCCCTGCGGACACTGACATACTAAAATGATTGTGGATCGCTGATGACGGAGGGGGAGGAGCTCTCTCTTCAGCATTTACTACAAATGGGAAAGTCCATATATGGTAAATGATGTCACTGGAGATCCCTGCTGATCGGATTCGATCACTTGGCCCCTTTTTTATAGTATTTATTTTTTGTCTCTTGCTGCAAGCATCTTAACCACTTTAGTCCCACAAGTTTTTTTTAGTTTTGGTTTAGCTTCTTAAAAATTGGAGCTTTCCGTAATTTTACTTTTTTTTTTTTTTTTT